GTACACATTAATATCTATAAATTTATTGGTTGAATACAGATTCTGTCTCTTATACACATCTAGATGTGTATAAGAGACAGGTGTTACCGATGAAATGATAAAGTTAGAAATGTTTTTAGGAAATGTTACGACCAAACTGCACTTAAGTTACAAGAGAGGAAAACGAGTACTGCAGTGATGAGTGTGGTCTCAAGTTGGATTCCAAGTATGAAGCATTTTAAATGATCGCTACCGCTGTTTATCTTAATGTTTCCCAAGGGGTTATTATGTCCTAGCCAAGCCAAGCTACTAGTTAAACGATGCAGGTCACATTCAGTCTCTTCCTTGTGTGATAGGTGGCAGCATATAGGCTAAAATTGGTCTTGGTATATTTTCAGAATGCATATTTTTTCTATTGAGTTATAGTGATGTGTTTGGAATGACATACACAAAAAATGACATAAAAACCACATTTGTTGCTGCTCTATTTTCAAAATTTTTGGTGTTCCTGAGAGCTTACTGAATTCCCTGTCCCTTCATATTATGATTCTGACAATAATAACATAATAGGTGGCAGTATATAGGCTAAAAATGTGAAAAAATGTTTTTTTTTATTTGTTTTGGTGGCCATTTTGAATACTTAATGAGGTCACATGACATAAAAAAATTAATTATCCACATTTTTTTTCTACTATGTGTCTTAATTAAGAAAATATATAATTGTCTTATGTTTAAAGCTATATATTAGAGCAGTATTATTATTTTCCTGAAAAGTGTCAATTTAATTTTTTTTAAATAGGGGATAGTACAGGTTATTAATATGAATCTGAAATTTAAAGCACTTTAATATTAATGTGTGAAATTTAAAGTACTCTAAAATATTATTCTGTGTGAAATTTATATCACTTTAATTTTTTAATCTGTGTGAAATTTAAAACATTCTAATATGTTTTCTTGTTTTTACATGACTATTTTTTTCATCCATAGCCGGGTTTTGTTTTCGTCTTCAGCAAATCAAACAACGGCAGCAGAGTCCATGCAAGAAGAAGAATAAGGAAGAGCTGGAAGCAAGAGGTGAAAAATTTACTGGATTACTTTTTCATTTGAAATGTATTTATTTATTTTTTCTTTATAATGTATTTTAATATCGAATCAATTGCAAGTGTTGTACCAACATTTTACATCAAAAGCTAAATAGAAATTTCTGTCCTCATACAAAAAATAAAACAAATTGAATTTACTTCTTGAGCAATCGTAAAGAGTATCTGGAACACCTAATAGATGACTTGTTAAACTCTTTTTTTTCTATTTCGTTGATATCAGAACACAGATGAGGAGGAGGCGGAGCAAAGTAAATACTGTGTCATCTGGTCTGCCAAGAGCCATCAGACATTTTCAAAGATTTTCATTTAAGGTTTGACCAATTGTTTGATTTGTGTGTTAAGAACTATATCATACGATTCAATCTTGAGTAATCATGGATATACAGTTTTTTGTAATACTTGACCGAGTTACTTCAAATTCAATATTAATTATGAACAATTAAGGAATTAATTGAATCAATGGACCCTCATAAACTCAACAAACTGAACGTTTAATAGGAATATTCTAGACCTGTTTTAAAGACTCAAGGAACACATTTAGATGTAGGCCTACAGCCAGGCAAGAGGCCGCCCAGGCCACCTCCTAATACTAGGCATGGCCTAGCCTACTTATGATATCATCGCACGATTTTACCTGTCTGCATGCACCGACCAAAGAGGTCAGTGTCTGTATTCTCTCTCAAATGCTGAAAAATGTTTATTTCTTTGACGAAAGTCTATCAAAATACTCATTACAAACAAGTTCTTTCGAACACAACCCAAATTACAATAATTATTCATCGTATCCATACTGTACTGCTGATGTGTAGTTAATAAACGCGTACAGCTAAATATAAGTACGCACACGTATACTGATGATATCACTATAGCAACAGTTGGTTATCAAAAACTGAAATTAACAGATGGCGATTGACTTGTTAAGCAATTAGTAGATCATGCATCATACGCTGATGGAAAATTAGGTTACATTTAATGCATTCAAAAATTTCCTTTAGGCCTTGCAGGGCCTCAGCAAATCCAACCTCTGTATAATAATTTTCCTATATTGTACTATGCGGAGTTCTACTAATTGCTTATTATACTGTACATACGTATCAGATTCAGATATTATTTTTGTCAAAGTACACATTAATATCTATAAATTTATTGGTTGAATACAGATTACATTTAAGATGAATGTAAACTAAAGCTAAGCTTGACTACTAAATTATATACAGTATATCCTTTTTATGATGATGAAATAATAAAATGCTTAACACCACCCCCCCCCCCCCCACTTTTAAATATTTCCCTGTCCAACCACTTTGAATCAGATTATTTAGGCAGATTCAAGTTTGTAAGAAAAATTAAATATATACCAGAATAATTTATTTAATGGATATGAATGTCTGTCTGGTGTGTTTATAATATACACTCTGTTGTGAGCTTGTTAGGTTTTTTATACAGAAAAACAAAAAGGAAATATACAGGAATTAAAAAAAAAATAAAGAAACATGCAAATATCAAAATTTATGAAAATCAAAGAGATACAAGTTGATAGATTACAAAAAAGCCCCAATAGATTGAAAAGTAAAATCAATATGCAAGAAAATTACATGTATATGCATTATATGGTTAAAAACTTGTAAAAAAATATAAAATCATAAGGTAATGTGTGATTCAAATTTGATGAGAACTACACTGTAAACAATTGAGGTTTGCAGATTATAGTATTATTGTTTAACAGGTTTATAATCATTATGCCAACTTTAGTATTCAATAATTATTTTAAGTTTAAGATCCATAACTTAACTCTATGTGGATGATATGAAATAATGAATATGTAGATATTCCTACACTTATAAATTTGAATTGTTGAAAACAAACAAGTGAAGCAAGAGGACTGTCACTATTTAATAATTGAATATTTTTACTGTATTGTCACCACGATTTGCTACTGCAAGTCTCCTTGGATGATATGAAATGATGGATAATCCCTCTGGAATGTTGATTCCATCTTCTGGTTTATCAATTCTTTTTATGAAATTTCCATCACTACTGAATAGCTGTAGTTTGCGTTGACTTGATATAATGATGTTGTCATCCTCATCAACTATTACTGTTCTTGGAGAATTTACCTTATCATCCTCATCACCTGCTTGAACAAGGACTTTTATGAACCTTCCCTCATTATTAAATAATTGTAATCTACTGTTGTAATACTCCAATACAAGAAGGTGTCCTTGGTTAGTAAGAGTAACATCAATGACATTACTCATTTGACCTTCTTTTGTACCATGTGACCCTATTGTTTTGATGGTCTTGTCATTATTCATGTCAAACATGTACACACAGCTATTGGGCCAAACTGCTGCATACAAAACATTTGATGTCTCATCCACATGAATGCTCCGTGGTGTATTCTGTACTCCCTCACTAATTGTTTTAATCAGCTGACCATTCATATTGCATATTCTGATAGGTGTATTAACATAGCTATCACTGAATGCTATGTTACCATTCTTCATTTTGTACATTCTGTTAACTAGCACACCTTGTGGTAGTGTAACCTTACCAATATATTCTCCTGATTGCTTGTACTTGAGCATTTCATTTGTCTCACATGAAACCAGTAAGGAGTCATCTTCACACTTAACTACATCTCTAATACTTGTGTTATCTATTTTAATAGTATTTACTAATCTGTCTTCTATTTTGATTGTCATTGGTGATTGGTGAACTGGTTCATCATCAGCACTAACATCTAGTTTACAAACTCCTAGACTTGTGCATTTTTCTGTCACAAAATAATCTCCATTGTCATCTTCCTGAATTTGAGAGATGTTGGTTTCCCCTGTAGGCTGTGTCCATGTTGCCTTCAGTTGATTTGCATATATTTCATGTTCATCTGTTTTGATTATTTTGACAATAATTGTCTGATCTTTGATCACAGATTCCCCTCCTTCTAATGTTAAACAGTCTGCTGCCCTAAAATCTTTTACAGTCCCTATAGCACATTGTCTCAGTGAAGTCATTTGCTGTTTGTTTATGAAGTAGTAAATTTCTCCATTATCATCTGGCTCTGTTTTTGGTAATTTATTGATTCTGTCCCTGAGTGCTGTAACTACTGTTTCACTTGACTGCATTGCAGTGCCTTCATCACTCTTCAATAATTGATTAAGAAAAGACAGTTTTGTTTTTATATCGGATAATATTGCTTTAAATTCATCCATTTGTACATCATTTACCTTCTTTTTTCTTTTGTAGATTGTCTCTACTTTGTTTTTCATTTTGTCTCTATTCTCCTTTACTTTTTTGAATATTTCTTCAACGTGATTGTATATGTCTCTCAAACATGTGTCCTTACATTTGTCTAATTTTGTAGCATTCTGAATAACAGCTTTGAGACCATCTTCTAATTTGTTAGCAAAGTGTTGGGCAGATTTTTTCAAGGTGGCTGAAGTTTCTTTAAATGTTTGGAATGCGTCTGAAATGTTGATTGATTTGTGTTTTCCATCCCATGTATTGTGGTCCATAAGTATACAATTTACACAGATTGGAGTTTTACAATCTGTGCAGTAGAACTCCAAAGGTTTACTGTGATGTGAACACAGAGGCGAATGTAACAAAGTCATCTCAGAGGGACTCATTGATTCCACATCCTCCATTAAATGTAACTTGTGAT